ACCAACTCGAGTTGCAACCAGAGTCACGGAACGGATTAAGTTCGTAACTAGAGGTACCACCGTATGTAGGCTATTCTAAGGGCTTTTTCTTATTTAACATTCTGCAGGCTTAAACTCTCTTTACTAAGTAATAAATCTTGTCATATAAAAGCATCTTTATCTCTTGAGTCTGTAAGTTAACATATTTTATGCAAAGACACTCTTACTGTTTAAATGATTATGATAAAAAATAAGTGGACAGGTTTTGTGTGCAAGCTTTTACATTTTTACATTCATATTGGAAATGGTGATATGGAAGGGTTGATATTGGGATGCAGCTGATTAATCCTTCACATATGAAAAAATCCAAATTGAGAAGAAAATAGTCTATGAGATTAGCCATCAAATGATGTCTAGACTTGATGTCATCGAGCAGTGATAGGAAAATTATGAGCTTTGTCTAGGCCAAAAGCGGAACTCCTAAGTATAGCACTTAGTTTAAAGTGTATACATCTAGCAAGTCCTAAGGAGCGCAGAATTCACTTTATGAGCCTTACTAAATAAGCATGTTTAACTTTGTTGCAGATTTTTAATGGTGCTATAGCAGAGCCCCATTTGTCTCCTTTTCGTTGAGGGCCACATGCTTTTGAAGTACTTCACTGATTGCACTGATCAGCAGCAGAACTGAATATAGGTGGGAAATCCCCATTTTTTGTCTGCTATCCTCCCAACTTTTTTCTCAAAGATGGGAGGGTGTTTTTTATCAGAAACTTAAACTGAATATATGTGGAGAGCTTTTGAATATAGAATGAAGGCTACAGTTTGTCCAACACTTGTCCTAATGCTTTGAGCTGAAAATAGCAGATGTTTTAGTGGTGCCATTGCTATACATCGAAGGAACAGTTCTTGCTAGATTTAATTGGTTGTCTTTCTATCACCTCCCTGGCTCATTGTGGGTCACCTTGAGTTGACTTTTTCAACTAACTATGTTGCTGTATTTGGTAGAGAAAGTTTGAGTTCTTGGAACATGCTAATAATGTGATCAACTTTATTGGCTTACTGTGTGCAAACACAAATAGTGTTTTTAGTTTATAGTCCAGTGTATTGTGTGAACCCAGGCAGTTCAGTAAACTGTGGTTTAACACTTCTGGGAAGTTTAAGAATTGATTTGTCCTTGTGTGTCCTCAGCTATCCTTGTCCTGACTTACAGGTAATCAGTATAATAATGCTACAGCACAGGTAGCTTTCGCCTTTGACTATCAAACTCCAGGATGTGGCATCCATAGAGTATTACAGAGGGATATGACTACATGATACAACTTGTCCCCATTCTACAAAAAAATGCATTTATGCATTTTTCTAAATTATAAGTCAGATCAAAAGAATCTTCTTTCAAAATAACAAAGCCTAAGCTATGGTTTGTTATTTATGATATGTTAAAAGTTCTTGAATAAAAAATGAGGCTTATAATTATGGAAGATGTCAAGTGTGCTTTGTTGTTTGCTTACAATCCTGCTGATTTTTGATATTCTAGTATTCTCAGTAGCTTTTTGTTAGTCTTTATGATACCTAGGTGTGCATTGTTGCCAATGATCCAGGCCATTTTCTGTACAGTACTCCTCTGGTGTCCCCAAGTTCAAAGAGAGGAAGAATCTGAAAGTTAACTTTTTAATTTTTTTAAAAAGTATTGCTCAAATGTAATGAACAACAAAATACAACAATGATTTGTGCAGTTAAAAATGACATACATTATAGTGATTAAAATAAACTAGACATAAGAAAAAAAATAAGGTCCATGTAGTATCAATATAAAATTAATCCAGTCTTTAAAGTTATAATTAAATCAAAGCCATACAGAAATATATTGCTTCATCTTTTCATTTTTAGAATATAAAGATATTTCAAAAATTGATAAAAATGTATCTTGAATCCATTCCATAACTTCAGAAAAATAAGCTTTTTTCTAGGGAAACTAGAAAATTGCTATCAGGCCCCTTCAACTCCAGTGGCAGTGAAATTACTGGATGAAATTCTAGATTCAGTCTGTTGTGTTTATTGCAATATGGTTCTTCTAGAAAAGATTAGAAATTAGTTTTTGTTTCTGTGCTGACTTTGAAGTAAAGAAAGAACATCTTATCCTTTTCATTCAGGAGCTGAAGGCAGTGTACATAATATTCCCTCCTGTGTTCTGTGACAACAACCTTGTGAGGTAGATTGGACTGAAGTATGGCTGGCCTAAAGATACCCATTGAGCTTCCTAGGTTAAGGGTGGACTGGAACCTGGGTCTCCCCAGTGTCAGTCCCAAGACCTTAACCTCTATACTACACTGGCTCTTACATTAAAAGTTTTAAAAAATAATCCTTTGAATTGAGTTAAATTGCTGGGGACTTCATGGACACATCCATGTAGAAACATTGAATAAGTACTTATAGGAACACAACAATTATTTGAAATAACATGAGTAAGAGTGGAGTGTAATTTTTTTCCCCAGATTTTTCCAGATAATTTCTTCATTAATCTGCCTTATCTGCAGATTTGATAGTCATCCATGTTTTTAGGGAGTACTGTCTGGTGACCTGCAGGAATGTTTTATTCAGTTCCCTCTTTTTTATTATTTTGAACTTCTCACTGAGAACTGATATTTCAAAAAGAGTAATATTAGCATTTATTACATTAAGATTAAAAGGAGATCTAACCACTCAGTTCTGTGTACATCCTGTGAAATTGTCTAGGTCTTACTGCAAGGAATCTGTATAGTTACAGACACAGAATTCATTTGTTTCCTCGTGGTATGCAAATTAGGGGAATTTCTCTGTAGACTTTTTAGTAAAAAAATTGGCAACACAAGGCACTTCTGTTAAAACAACATTGGGTGAAATGCATTGCCAGTCAAGAAGGAATGACAGGTTATGAAAGGTAACATGAAGGGGACATTGCAATATTGCTTTCCTACATGCACCTTACTTGCAAAGTCTATTAGCATATCTTTATGCTGCGGTAATTTCACCTCTTAGCTTCAAGATGGTGACTAATATTAAGGTATATTGAATTAGAATATAGAGAAGAAATCCATTTTCTGTTTTGTCTGTAACTGCTATTTCTTGTTTCCCTATTTAAATAAGTACATGGCAATAAACTTGCACAATCTTTACTTAACAATGTTTGATTTACTAATGGTCACTTGTTTAATTGCAAGCAGTAAATTCAACAGGCTAAATAAAATATTTGACCTAAACAATTTAGAATGGCTGTGGGAAAGTTGGAGTACAGAGGCTTAAGGCTTCATGGTAAAAATTCTGTAAAGGCATCTCTTGGGCTTGTAGTATGGTTTACTTGTTTTAAGTAGGAAGAATTGTATTTACAAATACCACTTTGTATGAAAGACAGCCTCGGCAGCTGAACTTTCTGCATTTGGATGCCTTTATTTTATTCATTTTTTCTGCATTGCCTTATGTACCTACATCACTCTTTTCCTGTGTGCTTTTTAACATGTATTCTTTCAGACAATTAAAGCATCCCTAATGGATTCTTTAAGGAAACTAAGATAGTCATGATTCTTCTTGAAAGATTTCCATCTTGATAACAGTTACTGCACCTGGTATATGTAGCCATTATTTGGAATAGTGGCTATATGGGGCAAATTGCAAAGTTATACAGGTGAACTTTTGCTCATGCAGTGGGAATTTCCTATCTCCACCATTTCATTGAAGCCCTGGGCACGACCCTCAAATCTTTTGTGCAAAGCTGGGTGGTTAAAGAAAAGGCGATAACTTATCTCAGCACTGTCTGTTCCACTGCTGGAAGTAAAATGTTGGAAACACTTATGACCTATGTTTCTGCTAAAGAGACTAGAGGCAAACTCTTCCAAAGCATCAGGGGACTGCACGTTAGTTGTGGTGTGCGTTACTGTAGGTCTATTTGTTACTAACTTCCCAGAAAGATGACCACTATTGTATTGTCATTAGGATTGTGTATTTTGAAGAAGGTCATATTTGAACTTTTTTTTTTTGAGATATATATTTCTTCCTTCTAGCTTATCTCTTCTATATTTTTGAAGCTACGACAATCCAAAATACTGCAGTCCTGGTAAAAACAGAATTCTTTGCTGAAAATAAATTATTAATTTAAGGGGGAGGGGAATGCATATTTCAGGTATCTGTCCTGAGAAATGGTTGAAGGAAATATTAGTTGCATATTTGGCATCAGTTTATTTACTATTGTCAGATATAAAACAAAGCTGTGGCATAAAGTAAGACACTTTAAAGAGAATTTCCTGCTAATGTATCAAACTAAATTATCAAATAAAAGTTTGAAATGTACAGAATATTTCATTTATATTTCATTTATTTTAATGATTTCTTTTTTATGACACTAAAAAGCCAAGTACCTAGAACATTATTTATACACAAATACAACTGAAATTATTTTTTTAATGATAGCCATGAAATCACTCTGTTGCCTTCCCCTTTCAATATATTCACGACACATTAAAATAGCTCCTTTTGTTTATATAGATAACTGGCATTGTGGAACTGCTCAAGGATGGCTAATCTGATGTCTCAGAGTTTGGTGACTTACGTGGAAGAAGAAAATGTTCCTGCTTTGAAGGCATTTCTTGAGAAGTGCAAAGATGTGGATGAGAGGGACGAGGTATGATATACTTTGAAAATTATCCAGAAGAAGTACTTTGGAGCTTGTAGGAGCATAGCACATATCTGCTGTTCATTCTGTGCTCCATTTCAGAGCAATTGATTTGTGATCTTCAAATGTGGGATGTTGTCATGGTCAGATTACTTTTTTGCTAGTCTATGGCTTGTCCCTTTTGCCAGTCTCTGTAAGGGCAGGGAATCAGTTAGGTGTCTTACGGATCTATTTGGTTTCCAGATAGTACTTGGGGTTTTCTGCAGAAACTTCTGGGGAAAGATAGTTCTGCCACAAGACTAACCTGCAAGACTCGAGCAGCCTCTCTGTGTTCATTAATCCTGGGCTGCTGCTTGGTTTACTGAAGAACCAGGAGATGAACAATGAACAGAGACTTAGAGTGCTAATGACTCATGTTTGCTCTTACTTGGACTTCACTTGGGAAGATTTAAGTGAGGTAGTTGGGACACCTTCCTGCAATGGGATCAGGTTTATGTTTCAGCTTGTGGATTCTGAGGATATGGGCAGGATTCTCTGTACTATGAGTACTTCAGTCTGTGGGCTGGATCTGTGCCTTTTGTGGCTCTTTTCAGCAGCCAGGGAAGGTGTGAGGGGCTAAATCTGTGAGGTTGTCAGTGCTTCTTTGAGGGAGAGTATTGAAACTGCTGCCTTGAAAGAGGTGGTAAGGCATTCAGAATCCTTCTCTGGACCTAGCTCTTTTGGACAACTACTACCCAGTTCCAGTCTTTCTTGTTTAGGGAAGATCCTGGAGAAGGCTGTGGGGCGTCAGTTATCAAGAGTGTTTGAGTTATCTAGGCATTGTTAGATTTGGATGAGCCAAAACAAACTCAGTGAATCACAGCAGAATGGTGTTGCTATTTGTCCAGAAACTACTTGGCTCAGCACCTTTAATACTGACTCTAGATGGGGTTGTACCCATTTAGCACATCTGAAACCTGGAGATTCTCCTGGGCTCATGGCTTCTGTTGGTTGAGCAGATGGAATTCATGGTCTGGGGAGCCTTTCCCAGCTTTGTCTGGTGTGGAACTTGTGACTTTTTTTTTTTTGGAGCTGAGAGCCCTGGCGCACACCTTTATTGTTATGATCTGTTAGAACAATGAACTTATTTACTTAAAAAAACACTTTTATTGCCTTCAGATTAAATTATTGCAACATGCTTTACTTGGAGCTACCTTTGAAGATGACTTAGAATCTTTAGCTAGTGCAGAAAGCAGCAATGTGATTGCTGATGGACAAGGCCATCTTAGCAGAATTATACCAGTGACACTGCATTGGTGCCTGCTTGTTTCCAGGTCCAATTCAGAGTGTTAGGTATGACCTACAAAGCCCTACATGGTCTGGGTCAAAATTGCTTTTGATTATCTGATCCAAATACAGTAGTATCTGTCCTGTGCAGTCAGTCCTGAAAGGGGCAGTCCACATATCTGCCTGTCAAAATATGGAGGGGGTTGGGGTGGAAGCAGCCACCCTTGTCTTATGGAAAAAGTTTGGATGGTTCCCTTACTTCTAAGCCTTAGGAAGTGACCACGCACTTTCATTGCGTCCTTGGATTTGAATGCTTCTGCTGGCTTGCTTCTAGTTTTAGTTATTTTAATTCATATTATCATTTTAATTTAATAAATTATTTTTATTGTTGCTTGAATAGTATATGGCATTCTGCTATAAGAATTGTTATATATCCTCTTAATTAGCTTTTTCTTACATTTATTTATTTTTTTCATGATTGCAGAATGGTCAGACTCCTTTAATGCTAGCTGCAGAGCAAGGCAATTTAGAAATTGTCCAAGAATTGATAAAGAAAGGCGCCAATTGTAACTTAGAAGATTCAGTAAGTACTAAGAAGCTTATCTTGCCTCATGCTTTATCTCTCCTCTGGCACACTTAATTTGCCATCAGTCTGTTTATATCTTGGAATCAGACCTGTAAATACAAAATATACAGATAAGACTGTTACATTCCATCCTATTACTTGTTATTACAGTGATATCATGCCTGAGAATTCTTTGTTAAAGCTTAATGGTTTAGAGGAATTACAGGTAGTCCTCGGATTAAGAACACCCGGTTTAAGGATGATCCATAGTTAAGAATAATGCCTATTGTAGCAAGATTCGTGTTAAATACATAATGGTTCAAGTTCATTACACAATATAATATATTATACAATTCATTGTACAATAATACTGTTCCAGCTTATGTACAAATTCGACTTAAGGACAGACCTTGGGAACAGAACTCGTTCTTAAACTGGGGACTACTCGTAATTCAGCTAGAATGATCTTTTGATTGATGGCTTCTGCCTGTCCTAATAGATCTGGCAGGGTCGGCGTGCTCTGGGTCCCCTCAGTGAAGCAGTGTCACCTGATGGGACCTTGGAAGTGTGCCTTCTCTGTCATGGCACCTGCCTGATGGAATAGCCTTGCCCTGGAGATACGGATGGCCGCAACCCTGTTGGCCTTCAAGTGGTTTCTCCCCAGGTACTGGGGCCAGAGTGTTAATGGAGCTGGCAGGCGGATGAATGCAAGTTTTATCTTTATTTTGGTATCTTTATTTTTTATTGATTTTATTGTAACTTCTTTTATTGTTGTGAGCTGCCCAGAGTTACTGACAGTCGGGTGGCATACAAGTTTAATAAATAAATAAATAAATAAAAATATTTTTATTATTATTATTATTATTAT